AAAAAATCCTTAAAAAACAAAAAAAAAAGATAGAGCAACAAAAACTTGTTACATGCACTTCTTCCAAATACAGTCCTTAAAAAAAAAAAAAAAAAAAAGCAGGAAACAAAGAAGAGATGGCAAACGAGATGTGTACTTTTTATATAAAATAAAAAAAATAGGATAGAAACAGCGTATATGTATTTCTTTTAACCTAGGTGAACTCCTCTTTCTCGGGAAAGGACATAATCTCACAGTCTCTACTGGAAGTTGAGAAACAAATGAAATGCTATCATTAAAAAAACAAAAACAAACAAAAATAACTCACCACAAGATTGGAAAAAGCTGCAAAACATGAAAAAGCAACAGGACTCATCCAATCACAGTACATTATATTATAGGAGTCTCCCGTCTGAAAAAATAAGCTTGCCTTTGCAGAGGTGAAGTAGATGCAGTCTTCTCTTCTGCCTGTGGGTGCCATTACTGGATCAAAGTAAGTCTAAACTGCAACTTGCTGCTGTTTTCCAGCTGCAAGATTCTTATGAGTCAGTGTGCCTGCAGGAGTTTTTTTTATCCTTTATTTCTAACACTGTTTTTTTTTTTTTTTTTTTTCCAAAAGAGGCGGCATAGGTAGAATTCCCCCCCACCCCCAAAAGTCTGCTAATATGCAACACATCTTGAAAAAAGATACATTGTTTGAAAGTTTCTCAGACAATTTTTTTAGGATAAAAATAGGCTGTTCACAGCCAAATTGCCATTAGTGTGAACCCCATAGCTCCAGCAATTTACAGCACCCTCCCTCCCCACCCCCCAATCACTTTGCTTGGTATTCTTCTGCAGCAGTTCACTCCTATTTGGTTAATAGTAGCTGATATTCAAATCTGTAATTTTAAACTTATTTTTCTACTACTAGAAAAATAAAACTAGACATTGTAAAAAGCTGCAATATCTTTTTCATATAAAGTACTGAACTGAAAGAAATATGTTTATTAACTTCCTTCATCTCTTCAGCTAGAGTTCAATAGCAGAAGTCACTGGCTGAGCATGCGTGAAGAGAACGTACTTGGTTCGCTAGTTCTTCCTTGGTTTTGTATTTTCAAATGTAACTATGGGGCAGAACTCCAAATAAGGAATTTACTTTATATTAAAATTCAAAACAAATCCCCCCTTTTTTCTGTCAGAGCAGTCAATAAAATCTATGGGACGACTACATAGAGTAGCTACGTAACTTTTTAGCTAAAATATGATAGAAGACTATTTTCTTGATTAAATAAAAGAGGATTGGAAAAAAAAAACCACACACACCACACACGCAAAATCCCAAAACCATAGATTGCATCAATTCATATAACAAAATAAAGCCATTATAACTTCATTAAACAATACGTCTTATTTAGGTCTCTAAACATTTCCTCATAACAGGCTACGCTTAGAGCGAACGACAGTTACTGCATGCAGCCATGCCCATCTCACTGCTGACCTGGTCCTCACCTACACCTGCTTCCAACTACTTTGAAAGACTAGTAAAATAAGATACCATTGATAGCCAAAAATCAATCCATCCATCCCAGAAGCTGCCTGCCACGATCCAAATTTTTTGACATTTGCAGTTTATAGATCAACCAGCCTGTAGTCATAAATATACCCTCACCCTGATAGTATATTACACCAATAGATTACAGGAGCCTCAGCTAGCCTTCTTGATGTATTAATGCAATATGTTATGAGAGTACTAGCTCTCCCTGATGATGTACGGTCACTGCATATATTGTAAGAGTGAAGTACTTCAGTGATGTATAACTGTAACAAGGGCACCAGCCAGAAAATACTAGAAGTAGATTTTGTTAACTTATCAGACTAAAAAGTGAATGTATTATTAACATGAACACTAGAAATGAAGAAAAGCACATTAGTTAGCTGGAGGGGCAGAAGAGAACCAGAAGAAAGTAACTGGCCACATTTTGACTCATCCTGCAAGAACCAAACTCAATATGATTAAGGCTGCCCCCATCAGTCTTCTGATATTTTTATTAAAACTCTAGGCAGAAACACATTTGTTTGCATGCTCTTTCTTGATTTTTAAAGAAATGCTTAAAACAAATCAATTCAGTCTCCGAGTTTATGAAGAACTTGTCTTTAAGTTTTAGAAAATAAATAAGCTGACAATAAAACAAAATTCTGATAATGACACACAGAGCTATAAAAAAAAGATATTTTCTGAGCAGTGTTTCTTATTTAATACCAGAACACAAGCAAACATGATTAATCATGAAGGCAGGTGGAATATCAGGGAGTATCAAATTTAAATGCAATATGGTATTAACCTAAGACCATTATATTTATTGGTAGAAATTGGAAAAGATTGAGTATTATAACATTAAGAGGCTATAGATTAGGTCATACTCAGTCTCTCAATATGTGCTCTTAATTGTCTTAATATATTTTTAAAAACCTAGGTAAAGTCATTTTTTGTTTCACTTAAGAGCTACAGAAAATACCTTTCTTATAAATAGTTCAGATTTTTTTTTTTTTTTTTTTTTTTTTTACACAACACTGCAAAGTTCTCAGTAAGTGCACCACTGGAAGGTCTCAAAAGCAATAGTGTAGAAAAGAAAACGGACAAAAATTTACACTTAATTATAAAAATTGGAAATCTGTTACATAATCCAGTTTCATTCTTTACAATAGCTCACATGTATATACATGATTCAGAAAAACCAGTTGTCTAAGTTTCAACCAAATATAAAACAGTACATTTACAGAAGTACAAGTATACCAAGTTTCTCATGTTTACAGCTATAAGAATCTGAACAACTGAATAATGCTTTGTTAACCTTTAAACAGACTTGTAAAAGCCTTTACAGTAGAAAAAAGTGATTAAGCAACATCACACATTGTATGAGGAGGACATTAACCATAAAAAAAATTCTGACAATATTTTGTTAATTATTTTTGATATCAGAACTGCACTGCAAGACACTTTTCAACAAAACATTAAGCTAGATTGGTCTTAAGTGTATGCTGGTTACTAGTTCAGTATAATTACCTTTGTTTCCCTCAAACAGGAAAAGGGTGGGGGAAAGAAAAAGAGAAGATAGCATTCAGTATAAATCCACTGTAAAAGTACACAAAGAGAAAAAGGATGATTGACTCTTTATCATAATCTATTCATGGAAACCAGTTTTAAGAGCCTGAAGTGTTCCTGAAGCTGAACTATTCAAGGTGTTGCGCATTTCCCTCAGAAGAAAAGATGATAGCTGTGAGTGCCTAACTTGGAAGCTTTGATACAAGGAAAATATGTAAGATGCAGCTCCTGATTTTCTCGGGACCACTGTGAGCAAAGTGTGCTAGGTCCAGGACTTCCAGACCCCAAAAATTGAAGAATAAAACTTCAAATTCACTTTTATCCTTGTTGTTAATTTTCACTGGCTTTAGCCAAGAGACTAAAGGTAAGAGGTTAAACAATGACTGAAGTAAAAAGAGGAAGTAGCTGATTGGCAAGTTGATTCTCTTAGCCTAGAGTGGGTCCATAGTTCTATTTCTAATTTGACATCATTATAAAGGCAGGAATGATATGAAACAGTTCATGAAAGGGGCAAAGATGAAATCTGCTTCTTATCCAACAATCACAGCCCAGTGTAAGTGACAGAGGAGCATGAAATAATATTGAATAATATAGCGATGTTCTTACAGACAGTTCAAACCGTAGCTCAGGTAAGCCTCGATCACAGCCCAACAAGTACTTCTAGAGGAGTTGTACCTCAGAACAAGGCAGAACGTGGTAAGCTAATCAAGCAGGTCATGTGACAGTACCATGTTCTCTCAAATTTTAATTCTAACATCAGTGATGGAGAGTGAATCCTGTCTGCATTTATCACTGGGAGGCTTGCTATAATCTCAGCAGACCAAGTCAGTCATCTAGATTTCCTGAACATGCGTCAAGGAGGTTTAAAGACGTGCGTACATCTAGGCATGGCACTAGGCATCTAGGCACTTTGTCTTTGCTTCATTTTTCACTTTCAAAATGTGAAAGGTTAACCCCATCCAGCCCTGTATCTGCAGTATGTACCTTCTAGTTTTACTTGTAGATTCGGTATCAGTGCAGTTCTCCGCAACCTCATGGGATGAGATGCATGTTATTCAGAAAGAGCCATGCTTCTGATCAGCTAGAAATAGTACTGAAAATGATCTGAGCAATGACGTTCAATTATATCATGCAAAACAAACTACTGAGAATTGAGTTGGAGTACTACCGTTGCCACTTTCTTAAACCTCAACTTTTCAAAGGATTACAAAGCCATTAAAAAGCACTCAAGTAATGTTATAAAGTACTTTCAGTATCTCATAATTTTTCCCCTACAGAAACAAATCAAGGCTTTTCTCCAAAAAAGGTTGACATATCAAAAAATGAGTAATAAAAAACACACTTGAAATATGCAGCACAGGTGAAGGAACAATATTAACAGAAGAAAGCTGATATTCACATAAACTGCTTTTTAAGTATCTAAGATAGGAAATCAGTCTCCTTCTCTAACTACATATGCAACATGAATGTATGTTAGAGTCATCCTTTAAAGGAATCTTCTTCCACTACTTCCTTCCTTCCATCCACTTCCCTTCCTCCTAACTTAAGCTCCCAAGTTAAAGGCCTAAAAAGAAGAGGTGTGAATATCCTACCAAGTGTTCTCTGAATCTCCTGGCTTTTCCTCCAATAGCTTTTAATATCTCAGTTGACATCAACTCCAACAGATTTTTTTTTCTTACTGCTTTAGATTACTTCTGATACACTACTTTGTGGTTGACGAGGTCTTTATTAAAAGAAAAGATACTATATTCAAGTCTAACAGCGTCTTAAGGAATTTCACTTTTTCCTTCGAAATTCAGGGTATATATCCTCACACAAACAAGTCATCCACCTTCATACCATATAATAGTAGCAATAAATTTTAGCTTTCTGTAATATGTTGCATTTCCTTCTCATATAGGAAAAGAGCTTCCCCACATTTCTTGAGGGTAGTATTTTACACCCACTGTATCCCACCGGGTGAAAGCTCCCCTGGGAAGGCAGGTGATAACGGCATTTTATACATGTGTTCTGGAATTCCCTTCTGTTTCCCAGCTGATTCAACTTCACCTGTTCCAACCTGTTTTCCTTGAATCCCAATAGTTTCATTGGAAAGAATCTCAGATTTCAGTGACTGCTGTCCTTGTTCAAGTTCAAAATTCACAATAAGGGAATCAACCAGAGAGTTCAATTCATCAGAGTTCATGAAAGGTATAGATATTTTCTGGATAGGACTGCTTGCAGAAACAGAAGGCAAGGCAAATAAACTGAAATAGTTGTTAAAATGTCCAGCTAAGATGCAAATCTTTTCTGCACAGCTCCTGAGATGGCTTGTACTTCGGTATGATCCTATGAAAAACAAAAGCAAGAAGAATCAAATGCAATGTTTTTTGCAAAAAAGAGATCAAGCAGTCTTCCCTCCCTCTTTACCTCAGTGGTCTTCTTCAGGCTACAGGTTACTGTCAAGACAGGTAATAACCCAGCTAAATACCTTGTAATGTAGAAGAAACAATTCGATAGACTTCAGCTAGGCACTGCTCCAATTCCAAATATTTTGCAGCAATGTTCAAGTTTTTCTTTATTTCTTGTTGTACATTTTCTTCTTCTGTTAACTGAGGTCCTATTTCTTTCTGCGTTAGTAAAGAGGAATTTGCTTGAAAAGACCCAAATAAGTGATAGAAATATTCAGTGCTTAATATACTACTATGGATTCAATTCTCACAAAACAGGCCAACACTGAAATACAAAGTGATCCTAACTCACAAAACATATGATAATTCTGAAGAAAGCAGATTCCTGACAGCTAAGAAATGTGCAAATGGAATCACGTAAGTGTGAAAAATTTTCTAGATTTTAAGATGAATCAAAAGCTGGAGAGATAATTTAATCTAAAATACCAATAACTATAACACCATAAACTACTGTAGTAGCTACTTATATCACAATTACGGTAGCATTATTGAACCTGAGGCTTTCAAATTAAAAAAGGTTGTCAAGGCTGTTTGTAATGAACACATTAAAAATAAAAAGTAATAATCAAACCAGAAAGATACCAGAAACACTGTAAGAAAAATTAAAATTAAGTAGTCTTGAGTGGAAATAAGCTGGCCAAAAGAATTACAGTGTTCCAGTCACAGGAGTGCTAACTGTGATATAAAGGGTAATTTCAGTTCCGCCTTTTTGTTAAATACATCCTTTAAATTTAAGTCTTAGCCTTCAAAATGCATATTTTGTGAAATATTTCCCTTACCTTTCTCCAACAAGCTATGTTATTTTCAAGGAATCTGGCTAAAGCCACAGCATTGTCCTTTATTCGATTTTGAATCTAGAAAAAAAGCCTTTTAATTGTATTGTACATTTGAATCAAGACACAATAAGTATCCATCAATAATTTAGAAGCATAGCAAAGAACACTGACATAATAACAAGGAAAACATTCAAAAGCAGAAGCAATGAAAACGTGAATTTCCTGCAACATAGCATGCAATTTCTCAAACGGCGGAGGGGAAGTTAGCTGGTAGAGAACATTTTTAACTATATATGGAGAGTATTAAATATCCCTTATTACAGGAGGATCATATGAGCAAATCTAAGTAAAGAATTTTTTTTTTTCAAATGCCTCTGCTGCCTGGTGTGACAGTAAGCTCTTAGTACCCAAGTATTTTCTGACTTCACATTAGCTCCACCAGCAGAAAACAGAAGAACCCTACAGCTGCATAGGAATCTGCTACAAGCAAACACACCACTGCTTGGCAAGCAGACTGCTCAATCCCTTCCACTAGGAACATGGAGCATTTGAGATTTGACTAAGCAGACAGGAATATAAGACTTTTACTGGTTCCGCCGTCGTCTGTAGGATTAAGAGTAACAGTGAAAACCAGAGTAGGAAGAAATTTTTGTTTTGCTTGAGACAAGTCTAGCACTCCTGTCAATTACATTTAAACCATTTATCCCAAAGTCACTGTTACAGATTTATTTTTGAACTGAAATAAATTCTTCAGAAACATGTATTATAGATACCCCAGCTCACTAAGGAGACTTTCTTTTTGGCCACAGTCCTGCAAATTCCTGAACTTAGCATGAAAAAAAAAAAAAAAAAACACACAAAAAACACCACACTACCCTAAAGCAAAAGACAGGCTTGCTCATACACAGGTGAAGCCACTGTCTTCGCATGCTGTCTGTCCAAAACAGGTTTATTCACAGAGGAAAAGCAGCAGAACAAGCCTCTTGTCTATCGCAACACTGAAAGGAAGCCCGTACATCATGTGCCTAATATCGTGCTGAAGAACGTTTCAACCTTTCCAAAATGCTGCCTTGGAGGTCAGCCAGGCTTTCTGCTGACACAGCTTACCCACCGAGCAGCCCGTTACCAAGGGCTGCTCTAACTCGCCTAGGGGAATTTTCAGACAACTCTACAACTATACAGTCACAGAAATATGTTAACTGTGGTGCTTACTCTTGTGCTCTCCTTTGCTTAACTTGAGTATACCTCTCTCTCACCTAACCAAAACCAGTAAGAGCCTTAAGTAACAGGTTGGAGCTTAATAGTTGTGTCATTTCTCAAAAAAAAAAAAAAAAAGCAAACAGTTTCCCCAAGCGAAAAAGCTAATTAAAAACATATTTTACTGAATTAAGCATGTAAGGATGGCTGTTCTGCCTGAAGTATTAAGATACTTTTATGAGTATGTCTCCGGTGTATGTTTATTTCACATGAGAGCTGCTCCTCCCCAGTTTTTTTTTTTTTAAATTACATGCAACTATGATTTAAGTGTTCTGAAAAAATAAGTTTAAAGTGCATTAAAAAGCTTTTGTATGAAAGTATATGCACTACTTAGCAGTTGTGATGATTTATTATTCTATCTAGGGGGAAAAAAACTTAAGTATGTATCTTTTTACTCTAAGTGATTAGCAATACACTTTTTTAAAATTACAAAAATAATTAGATTGAGGTCTTAACATAGATGTAAAAGCTTTACATTGGTGTAATATCTTTTCATATTACAGTAAGCATGGAAAGTCATAGGGCCAACTCATTAACAAATTATAAATACCTTTGTTATAACATTTTATAGGATAATTACAAAGAAGCTGATTAAATTAACACAGCATTGCTGCTTAGCAACCCGGAAAGTATTTGAAGGTCAGCCCCGATTCCAGTGAACGACACCAAAACGAGTAGGACGTTTCTGCTATCAAATAACTGCTTCAGTCAACCATATTCACCATAAAGGCCCAATTCAGGAAAGTGCTTCAGCATATGCTAAGCATTAAGCACATGAAAATACTAGTTCTTAAAAAATAAAACTGAACTGTTCAAATACTTAGGTAGTATGCTGCTTGGGACTAAGACTGTAAGAGTAGTGTGTGACAATAAAGCTTTTTAAACTTTAAAAATTTTCCTTAAGCTGAGTACAGTAATAGTAGATATGTCTGCAATTATCAATAAGAAATAATCCTTAGCTTTTAGATTCATAAAGCATCACTATGTATTAAATATTAAATCTTTTTACAAAATAAATTTAACAGTAGTTAACAGAATAATAGGTCTAAGGTCTACTTGAGCCTTTCTGCCAATTTTCATATTCTCCCTCTTTCATAGCTACCCCATCTGACAAAAGAACCAGGGAAACAGTGAGATTTTATACAAAGCGCCCTCCAACACACAGCAAAAACAATGTGAACAAAATCTTCGTGTCTTCAGTCTACATGTGAAGGAAAGACTCTGCAGTGTAAAAACCTCTGCACGATTGCCGTCAATGTAGTGCCACCCATCTCAAATCTGTTAGTAATTGTACTCCTACTATAAACATTTCCAGAGAGAATTGCTGAAAGATAAAAAGAATTGATGGAATAGCTCTAAGAAGATGCACCAATAGTTTTTAAATCTCACCTCATTTTGTGGATATTGTTTCACCAGTTCTTTCTGCACTACTCTTGCTTTTTCCTGTACTGTATCCATAAGAAGCTCCAGGCCTGAGCCTACTCCATTGTAAATGGCAAGTATGAAGTCTTTCTAAAAGAAAGGTTCAAAATATAACAGTTAAAGTAACTGATATGGCCTTGAACTAAAACAGATGCTCTGTAACGAGCTAGAAACATGATTTTGCGTCGAGCAAATTGGTCAGTACTAGTCTGTTCACCCATGTGCCTGCCTTAAACCACAGGGACTCAGCCCTATAACTTCCTTTTTCTAGCTTTCTTCAGACTTCTGGGGAAAAAAAAAAAAAAAAAAAAAATCAACGCACTACAAATTTGAAAACAGTGGCAAGCCTTTGAAAGGTTGCCTTGCTCACAGATAACTGAAATAAGTACTAAACTTCATTTAAATAGTTATACTTGTACCATCTCAGTGTAAATGCAATTCTAAAAGCACAGTATTTCTCTTTATAGGTGCAAAAAAAAAATTCAAGGGCAGTAAACATATCCAGTTTCACCATAAAAACGAAGCATTAGACAAACTTTGAAAATATTCAAGTCAATTGATTCAGAAATGCTGTGAAGATCAAATTCTATGTTACACAGAACCTACTAGGTTTTTGAGTGCAGCTACTTAAAATGAACATAAATGCCAGTGTTAACGTTACTTGTTCTTTAATTCTATATCCTAGGATATACAGGCACAAAGAATAAGAGAAATTCAAAAGACAGTTTAACGTTAAAGTCTCTGTGCTTAAATATTTTTCTGAAACTCATCTAGAAAGTCATTGCATTTGATAAATTTTTTCTTCACCTGTAGGCTAGTTGCAGTAATTTGCTCTTCTGAGGAGACCAACATATCAACTCTTGTGAGTACTGCCAAGTGTCCTATGTATTTCATTATTTGTTTTACTGTTTGGTTTACTTTGTTCCATGCTTCCGTTACCATTGGGGATATATCTGAAGAACATCCCTGAGAAATGAAGAAATATCATTCATTTAAGCTAGAAAGCATCTGCGGTCAGAAAGTACACATTTTCTATTGTACAATAGTTTTTCTTGAAGCATTTTCAGCTTTATATCTTTCCATTTCCAGTGGCTCACCTACCACAATAAAAGAGAAGCCAATGCCTTGCAAGCACAGAAAAAAAAAAAAATCTTTATACTACAGAATATTGAAAAAAATCTGCGCACAAGACTGTAGCATAAATGAGACTATTTAGTAGCCATTTAAAAAAAAAGGTTTCATAAACAATAGCACTCTACAGATAATCTAAAAACAGCATTAACTCTTACCACTGCATATTTTGTTTTCCCCTTTTATCCTTTTTTCCTGGGGGGGAAGGGGGGGAGGGGAGTGAGGAAGCACTGTATATGACAGATACCTGACATTTTTGCCATGACTTTGAGTGCTTTTATAAAAAAAGCTGGACACTTTTGAGGCTTCCTGGAATGCTCAAAGGAAGAAGCGGAGGCAACACAACTAGTAGTAGTTGTGATAGGTTTAAAACAAAAAACAAACAAACAAACCACACACACACACGAGAACACCCCCTCCAAAATCAAGCAAACAAAAAAAACACATCCCCCACATACAACATAGACCACAACAACACACAAGAGATGCATCAAAGTGATTCCGTGCCTAGCTTAGGAGGCAGGACTTTACCAGCTCAGGACTAGTCTCATACTGAGAAACCCACACTATTGTCAGGGTCTGGGCACACAGAAGTCTGCACTGCTTTGAACTAGTGTATGAAAGTACCAGTTCAGCTAGCACAAAAATACCTTTCACTATTCCTCTCACTTCAGTCAGTCCATTTGTGACTTTGCGCGCTGTCTGACTGCTTTGAGTATGTTTATGGGCAATTTGCATCAACAGCATGGAATCGCTCTATACAGAATTCTCTTCTCTTTTTCTAGTGTATATATATGTACAAACACACACACACTTTACCTGCAAGAGTAACTGTAAATAGCTGCCCAAGTTCTTTACTTCCTGTTTTAATTCTTCATCAGTTTTTATGGATGCAGAACACTTTTGAACATTGTTAAGCCAAAGCTTGGTTAGAATCACAAGCTGGTCAAAAGCAGATATAATTCTGATGCTATAGGACTGAGCAGCACCATCAAGAAGGAAAACTAAAAAAAGAAATAGAAAATTATTAGAAGCTCTGGTCTGCAAGTGAAAGTAGGAACATTTATTCTTTCTAGAGGCAAATACATGAATGTTTTCACATCTGAAAAAACATTTATCAAGATGACTTACTGTTCTCTTGACATTCTTCATCTTGCTGTTCATACGCTTTTGAAATGGCAGATACTCCAGTGAAAATGGTAAACAAATTAGTTAGGAGATTATCTGCTAGGCTCTTTCCTCTTTCATGATTCTGTTCCAGTAAATCTAAAGCTGATCTTAGAGATTCTCTGCAAGTTCCAGGAACAAACAATTCAGAAGAGGTTGGGCATATGCTGAATTTGTTCAAGGAACCTGTATCGACATAAAAGCAAAACTTATCAAGAGTTTCTTGGCCATAGGAGCGAGCAGAGAGATAATCTTTATAATGACTATTTTATACTGCCTCTTCTACAATGTTTAACTATGAAAGATTAAAAATAGTTAGAAAAAAAACACAGAAGTGTGTACAAAAGAAAACTTGCATAGTTTCTGTATTCAGTTAGTACAAATTCCAGAGTGAAAGCCTTTAATGTGAATCCATCTTTTCAACTATAGAACCTATGAAGAGGTAGAACATTAAAAAAAAGCAGCAACCATCTAAAATATTTTACTGTATAAAATATTTGGAAGAGTGAAACATCTAATATTTGAGGGGAAAAGAGTTTTTAAGAAAATTTGTAAGAGTTTGAGAGAGAGAAGGAGAGAAAGAAAAAAAATCTAGGGGAACCTCAGAAGTTAAATGAGTAGCAACTACTCAAGCAAAAATCTCCAAAATGGTTATATTAGGATTCAGTCTCTGACAGAGCAACAGTTACATGAACTATCAGTATTCTCCATTTAACTTGCATAGTTAAGCATGGTCATGTTTTAAGCAAATTGCTCAATGTGAAGGTCATAAGCACTGGTCAGGAAGTGTTTACCTAAGAAGGCCTTTCACAAACACAAAAAATATATGCTATTAACATTACTACTTACACTCTGAACTTGAAGATATTACAAACAAGGCCTTTTCCACTTTGTTTACAAACCTACAGTTTGGGGAGGGTTAATAATTAGAAGTGCACGTGCTCTATCAGTATGGAGGAGTTTCAAGTTTCTCAGTATGAAAAGTAATCTGCTGTATAGTAATTACCTGATATACAGGAAGCTTGTATATTCTGGATTGGGTGTAATTTTATATCAGACAAACATCCAGAAATTCTCCTGTTCTTCATGAAACTTCTGCTTCTAAGATAGGATGAAGACATGGAAAACTTATTTTAAAATAATATTATCATTCACCCACCCCGTCCCACCTCCCTCCACCTAAGGTTCCATGAAAATTAACAAACATCAGACAAACCAAAAGCCCAGCTACTGTTAATTCATTGAAACTGGTAAACACAACCTAAATTAGAGTGAAAGCAAGTCAATACAGAAGGGATCCTGGTTACTTTCTGTTGATTCTTGCTTGTTGTTGCTGCCCAAAAGGAATAATTTCAGGTCCAAGGCAGCAACAGTAGCAACCAGTGAGGCTTGGACAAATTTGCTCTCATTTGTTTCTGTCATTGCTATACCTCAGATATGTTCAGAGCCACTGACACAAGTGGACTCTGATCCTAATGGGTGACTTCAACAAAGAAAGAGGAGAACAGGATTTTCAGGGAACATAAGTTACCATTTCTCCAAATAAGCCACTGGAGCAGTGATACATAGTATGCCTTGCCTTCTATTTTAGTATTCTGGAAGTCCCTTAAAGCAGGATCAACATTTCACATTCCCCTTTCTTGGGTAGTGTTTTATTCTTGGATAATTCTCCAGAACCTCAGAAGAATAAGTGTTTCTTTCCTAACTGCTTGGACCATGGAATGCAGACCTGTTGGCTCTTTTGGATCCTGTTTGCTCAACAGAATAAATTGCTTTTGCAAAGCCAGATGAGTTCTTCACTCATTTGGTTTGGTAAAAGATTGAAGTTCCATGAAGCTTGCTGTTGCTAGTTGGACAATCTCACACAGCGTCTCAGAGCTGGCACTGGGGGTTTACTTGCTTGCATTCAAGGCCAGCCCTCTGACAAGAGGGAGCTGTTCAAGATTCAAGCTAGCCTTAAATCTGTTAGAGGAAAAAAAGCTGGAAGGAGACTCCGCAGGGGCTCCCCCATACCTCCAGGGAGCTGCATAGAAGTTAAGACTCATGCCCTTGGTCCTGTCCAATTCGCACTGCAGCTATGCCTGTGCCTGGCCATGCCCCCTGTAGATCTGGGCCCTGACCTGCAGCCTTGACTTCCCAGCTTGGCCTGGGACCTGACCAGGACACAGCAGCCTTGCCTGTCAAACACTGGCCTGCTGCTGGCCACCATTGCTGGAGCTGCCCTGCTTAGCCCTGGGGTCTCCGGCCTGCTCTGGGAAGGGCAGTGCACAGCTTGCGCTCAGCTCCTGCCGGCCTCCCCTTTAGAGCCGCCTGCTCTTGCTGTGTGCCCTAACACTATGCACCCTAGAGTAGCACGTGAAATTCACTTTTTTTTCCACTAGTACGTGCAATTCACATCAATTAACTACTGTCAACACAAGGTGGAACACTGATATCCAGCGTTCCAGTACCTTTTCTTTTTCTGTTCAATTCCTACTGTTGCATTTTTAAAATGGCCAAAACAAAACCAAATACACTTCTGAGACTCAGTGCATAATTATAGCAGTCTTGCGCTGTCCAGAAGGCAGCTCCAGGCAAGGCAAAGTGTGTCAATATTGTTCTAGCATTAAAACAGTATTTAAACTAAAACTAAAGAAGTTGTTCATCCATCACATAGAAGTTATCTGAAAACAATTTACTTTGAACTGTCAGGAATGCTTGCCAAAATTTACACTCAGCTAAACTGGCCTGCTTTACTGCACAACAATAATCATCATTGGGCTGCTACCCTCTAGCAAAGCTATAATTAAGCATCTGTCAGCATTTACATTATAAGCTACAATTTGCAGGAGTTGCAATTCAATCATAAACATTGTCACAAGGCTAGAACTTACAAGGTCCCAGACCAGCTGCAATTTATTCTTTAAAAACAGTGCTTTTAAGGTTTTCTGCACATTTTCATATTTTAAAAACTACACACCTTACTATGCACTGATGATACCTAGATACATGGTTTAGAAAAACCTTACATGTGTTTTGACCAAATATACTTTTGGGTTTGGAGGTTTCTAGCTACTATTTCACCTTATCTCTTTCTGTAAAGAGAATGAATGAATAGAAGCAAAACTAGCAAATAATATACAGAGGAATAGACACACCTCTTTCATTTCCACAGAATTTAATGTCTAATTAGACATACTGTCAATTTTCGTTATTAATACGGCCATTGAAGAGCCTATAAGCAGCTATCCTTGCACATAGGTCACGGCAACAAATTACAGGTAACAAAAAATTGCCTGTTTTAGTTTTTAGAACTTTGTTTGATACTTAGCTTGCTTAAAATAATCCCCATCCCCCCTTCCCCCCCAAAAAAAAGGATAGGGAAAAGTTTGCTCTTTTCTTCCAGTTTAAGCACAAAGTTTGTATCTGTTTTCTCCTGGAAAATGCATACAGATTACTAGTATTCTTAAGACACAGCAGATACTGACTAGTTCAGAGAACAGATAAAGAGCTAAATAGTAAGTTTTCGATAGAAAAGGTATCAGATGAAAAAAACACATTAAAGAATTTAAAAACAGTTTTGTAAGCTTTCAAATATATATTACTCTTTCACTTTTAACCTTACATGCAAAGGAGTACAGTTAAAGCCCATGTAGTAAGCATTTCTGATCATCTAGACTGAACATCTACCCAGTTGCTGCAGTACTCTCTGCATTTAAAATCAAAAGCATCTGTGTGGCCACAGAATGCACTGATCTGGCTGGAAATGTTTTTCTGTCAAGCTGCTTTCGCTTCAGTTATTTCCCCCACTACTTCACCAGGTGACTGTGCAAGCACTCAGCAGTTGGCCCAGTGCGTGGAGTAAGGATGGAACTGTAGGCCAAGCGCCTGTTTAAAATCCCTTATGCTGCTAAAGAAATGTGTACCTATAACCTTAAACTGGGTCCTCTGCAGGTTGATTAGAAAACCTGCGTTACAGACAAAAATCAGTTAGAAATAGCTTTCAGACAATAATTGGGAACAGCTTGTTAATTATTTCCAACTACTTGCCAGTTGGTTATGCATAAAACCTTCCCAAATTGACCAGCTATACATTACATATATGCCATGGCTGACCTTAGAAAGCCTGCTGTTGAATCTACCAAACTGGTTTTGTTAGTAGTCGTGCAATTTTTATTAGCAGCGTTGCGCTAGCAACGCGTTGCATAGCAAAAACCACTTTTTCTGATTGAAGCCAGTAAACCAGAGCAAGATAACCCATTTAGGCTATTTCCTTCATCACAAATATTCACATCATAACTTTTATGTTCAAGATTATTATAAGGTTTAAAAAAAAAAAAAAAAATCAATAAACAAAATTATGTTAGTGGCTCTGAAGCATATTTAGATAAAGTAAAAATTACTAACTTCTGTAATTAATCATAGTAAAGGAGCTACAAAAGGCTACCTTCTTCTGGAAAAAGAGGAAACTGAGGCAGCTGAAAGGTCAGGTTCCCACTCATCAGTTGGGTCATAAAATACATCAGCAGCTTTATCACCATCATTGTTCTGGAAAACAAAAGGAAGTGGGGTTAAATAGAGGACTAGTATTATAGAAGCATATGGATGAAGAAACAATTGTTCTTTTAGTAACAGTAGAGCAGTAGTACTTCTGTTTTTGTTAGGATATTTCTAACTTAGAAGATAGCTGACTGCCAGCTTACTTGAAGTACAACAGTTTTAGCCATATTTTTCCATGTGGAATAGAATACAATCTCCATTATTGTCAAGATCCAAACAATAAATAGTAATATTTAGTAATAAATATCAAAACATGTTTCTGCCACTTGGTATAGTTGCATATTACAAAGTCATATCATAAGGGAATGTTTCCTCAATTTTTTTTTTATTTGATACCTTTTTTCTATTTTGGACAAATCATGAAAAGTTTATTTGAAATAAAGTAAATATGAAGAAGTTTTTTCATACAGAAAAGTATGATTTTGTTCATGAAATATAATTATTTAAGACAGAAAAAGTCAATTCCAAAGGGTAAAATGCCTTCAATGTTTTCCCCTACCAGAAAAATACCTTAGGTTCTCCAACAATTGAGATCTCTTCCTTCGCAAACTTCAGGTTTATTATTTACTTCAGAATATGACTTGCATTTGGAAATAGCAAGCATATAAATACTTGTTTATATATTTGAATCATATTTCTACTAATTTTTTTTTAAACACTGTTCCAGGCTTTGCATAACAGAGATACTGGGATGACAATAACTTATATAATTAGGGAAAAAAAAAAAATCACACGTTGAAGCACAGAAATTCAGACAAACTCATCTCTTACACATGTGAGTAAAAAACCTCATGTGTGTATACATATCATATTTTTCTTACATATATCTTTTCTTTTTAAGTAGTAATCCAGCGTCTTGTTTGATCAGATAATCATACAGGAGGAAAATCAGGAGGCTTATGAAAATACTATCTTTGATAAAGTATTTACGAATATTAGCATCTTTTTATTTAGTTCTTACAGACCTCATATAGTTCTTTCAATGTTGCTAGTTTGCATTCAAATTTCTCCAGGCTCCAGAAAGTTGCAATTCCCAGTTTGATATTACGAACCTGTACCTGAACAGAAGTTGCTCTTCCTGTTTTATCATCGATTTTGTCATGCCTAAGAATTTGAGAAGAAAATTGAAAAGAAATAATTAAATAAGAACATGAAGACAAAGAAACAGTTGTACTTCAAAAGTAAAAAAGTATTGGGGGAGGGAAAAAAATCATACTGAGGCTAAGAATTAGCGTCATTACAAGCACAGTGATTGCTTAGGACATCATGCTTCTCAGAAGCACAAACATTAATGTGTCCATTAAAATTAAGTTATTTCTATAGAAAATAGGAAGAAAGAAAAAGAAAGGAGAAAAAAGAAATTTATGCATTCAGAAGAAAACATCTGAACTCGCATATAAATTCTTGGCTCTCAAGAAACTCTGAATCAAATGCACGCTACAGACTTCCTGTTGATAGACAGCAAGAGCCAACACCTGAACACCACAACATCATACATACATATTAGAAACTCCTAGCATGGCTGCATTTACTGCAGACTTTTTAAAAACTGATGCAGTTTTTTCCCTGTGAGGACAGTCTTCTCCTATTGTAAAGCACCAGTGTATCTCACACTGAGCACACCCAGCCAATATACAGGTCCACTTTGTGAACACTTCAACTGTGATTAGCAGGTAGTATAGCATAGAAGATCTGCAGAGTGAAACATCCAGTTGCGAGTACTTGGTATCCGCCATAAAAGCTTCAGAATGTGCATACTTTGGACCATCTCTACTGTGGTCTATGAACTGATCACCACTAGCAGCTAGCTTGTCCTCTGTTTGTCCAAAAGTAACACACAGTTTGTGTGCTTTAGGATCACTTAAATACTTGAGCCAAAGCGTGTTAGTCATGGGCATTAGATTCACTTCCAAAGCACACTCAACCCAAAGGGAGTTGAATAACATAACCCTGATCTCAAATTCACATTGCAAACTAACAAGCCTGAGAAACACTGCATCTAAAGCTAGCTAGTAAAACTGATGCCATGTGCAATTTAATGAAATTCTTAAGAGGAAAAGAAACAAACAGCTCTCTGCATATCCCAAAATCTTTTTTCCTCCCTCTCCATATACTCTACTAAGTAACTCAGATACTCACCTGCAGAAAACAGTGCTTTTCCCCAATTCATTACTAATGGCATTGGCCTCCTTGATCATCACTGACAGTTTCAAAGAATTCCAGTTAAGTGGAACTAATATAAAATATGGTACATAATGATGAAGTGGTTCAAACATAACGTGATGCAACTTAAGGGTTTTAAAAAAAAAACTAGAAAAAAATCCATACAAGTATTTAGCCAGTAACAGTTCCATAGATTCCCAATATATTGGAGAAAAAAAAAAACAAACACACCACACACCACACACACCCCCTCCCCAACCCTCTCAACCAAGTTAACCCTGATCAAAACCCCCACACCACAGAAAACCACAACAACAAAAAAGAGCTCGATGAGGAGCATTTCAGGAATAAGAGACATAACACTAGATACTGTATATTGGCCTAACCTGAGGTGGGAAACTAAGCACAATCTATTCTGGTCCTCCAGTTCCCAAAGAGGCATAACACTAGATACTGTATATTGGCCTAACCTGAGGTGGGAAACGAAGCACAATCTATTCTGGTCCTCCAGTTCCCAAAAATGAGTTACTCCTAATCAGTACTTCCAGATGGCGGAAGAACTTCTCAGTAACTGGGTAAGTACAAATTATCTGTATATCCACCTGATAAATATGGTTACAATACGATTTAAACAGTACCTCTAGCACTGTCTGATACATAGAGCTTAAGAAAAGAAAGGATCATATACCAGTCATCAGGCACTCTTCATTCAGAATCATTAGAAAAGTGTCAGAGTTAAAAACCCTTCTGGCTCCAAACCACTAAACCCAAGCCCACTGAGTGAAAGAAATTTGCATTGCCCTTGTGATATTATGACGTACTAGTCATAGTTTTATTCCCACTGTCACGATTCTTTTGAAGGGTTTGTATTTCTTCAGCAATCTTCTGTTTCTCAGCTTCCAGAGCTTCAAGTATCTTTGCATGACGAATAGTATGATCTGCCAGAGCCTAAAAACAAAAGCAAAAAAAAAAAAAAACCACAAAAAAGGAAAAAACCAAACACCACCACACAACTCTTAGCAAGAGGTTTTGTTGCTGTTGTTTTAAGGATTCTTAGAACACAAGGAAATTTCTTGGACATCTCTACCATATCAGTACGAAACCCTTTGTCTTCAAGTTTCGACAATTTCCTGGTTTTGCTTAGATACCAACATGCTTAAGAGACACTGAAGTAGAAGAGAAACTAATATTTAGTCATAAGTTAACTTCATGCTTGAAGTCACAACTTGTGGCACAGACAACGGTCACTAAAGTTTGGTACATCAACAAGAGCATCCACATTATATAAGAAATGACATGGTTCTAGTTTATCTCGAATTTAATAGCATATTCGAGGGGTAAATAAGACATCTGTCTACTCACATTAAATGATTTAAAAGAAAAGTTTGAGAAGTAGTTAATTTAGACATAGTACAACCCTTTATTTAAAAAAAACATGACTATCTGAAAGCAGCTTGTTTTTTAAATTACCTGTTTGGTAGCTAACGTCTCCATTTCCAAACGCTTCTTGTTGAAGTGTACTTCTAGCTCCAGATTTTGCTTTGCTTTTTCTAGCTCTTGTATTTTGTTTGCAGCCTTTTGATTATTCAATTCTTGCATTTGATTCTTATGAGATTCTTCTTTCTAATACAAGGAAGGACAGATTAGAGGAGGTATACCAATTCCATAGCCTTTCCGACCCATCCTTTAGGCAGATGCTACTCCATCTTATATTATTGTTTTGCCATGATGTATTATTCTATAATAGAATTCTACATACTGTAAATTTAACTGCAAATACTACTAGTGACAAAAGGAGCATACAAGCTTGAAAGAAAAGAGTACATTAAAATAGTAATTTAAAAATCTCCTGTCACATGCAAGTTGAACCTTCTTCAAAATCACACTGGATTAATAATTTAATTCCCAAGCCTTCCATAAATCAGTATCCCTAAAACAATTTCGATACCTGATTTATAGTTCCTTATGTTAGGAAGGCTGACCTTCTTTTAAAAAAAAAAAAAAAAAAAAATTGAGAATGGGGCTTAGCATTCACTGAGTGAGTGTTTGGGTATGCAAGACCACGGAAAAGATAACACACTACAGCTTGTTGTTTAATTATATAACAGCTACATTATGCTGTTTTACATAATGATGCAACAGCAACTCACCAGTTCTGCTTCTAGTAATTTTATTTTGCTTTCATAAACTTCTTTTTGTGATGTCAGTTCTTGCTGAGCCATCTCTTTTGCAATTTGGATACTTTGCATCATTTCTTCCTTGGCTTTGAGTCGTGCCTCTTCAATTTCTGATTCAAGTCTACAAGTGGTAAGTTTTGTGCATTTAGAATGCTAGTTTGAATCTCTAATAGACTGCACAGAAGCTAAAAAGAGTATGATCTCTATCACAACAGGAGGTATAGTGTCCAAGAGCCTCCGATTTGAATAGTGAAAATTTTACATCTTTTATACTTTGCCTAGATACTTAGTTTCATAGGGAAAATGCAGACACAGGTAAAGAGGCAGAAACACAACATTTTAAACCATATTTGATTTCCAGATTTATTTCATTACTAATCTCTCACAAAATTAAGAATGGTAATGGAAATTCACTAACTCACATCAAGATGGGTTGGAAAGTTATATTTCCAGTCAATAAGACTTGCACCTTAGTAACTCCCAGGAATAGGACAAGTAAGAATAACAGGGTCACTTGAATTCCCCACTGTCATAGAAGATCAAGGTTGTAGCTTTGGTATCCTCATTTTCTTAGCATATTTCCTTTTCAGACTTTAGTCCTCTCTCCAAAACATCAAAAGTAAGCATTAAAAGTGCTATGGACCATTTATGACTCATTATGTACCTGAGAAGAAACATAACTGAAGAGAAACACTGCTCTCGTGGACCTCCGGAGCTTAGTGTTTCTCACGTTGTTGCCTGGATTCCTGAGGACTGGGCTAGATTGTAGTGACCACCTCTTACACCTAAGTGTATGTTCCAGCTAAGTCTGGAACTTCAGTTTCCATGGTAAAAATGAATTAACAATAATCTTGCTATTTTCCAACTTTCACTTACAGTTATTAATTGTTTCACTATTTCTTGAACTAAATGCTGCATTACCAGCTCAATTTATTTTTGGAACAGGAAGATACAATACTTACTGTGTTCTTTGTGCAACAAGCAGCTCGTTTTTTGCAAATTCAAAGTCTTTCGGACCATCATACACATACGTAGTCCCACAAGATGGCCTTTTAACTTTCTGAACCTCTACTGGATGATTAAACCTGAAATAATGATCTCCCCCAAGGATCACTCGATCACCCTGCAGGGAGGAAGGAAGAAAAAAAGAAAAAAGACACTACAACTTAAGTCTAAAGTGTACAGTGCTTAAAACATAGGAGTGGGGTGGAAATCAAGAAGAAAAACAATTTTTTAAAAGTTTCAGAGCCTTCTAAAAAACAGGGATTTGAAATTGTAATATTAATGCAGCTATAAGTTCCTCACAGATGAATATTATTCTTCAATTAAATCAATTACTTACATGATGTAGAACTGTTGGGTCCAAAATGTGTTTTCCATTAACATATGTCTTTGCTTCTCTCAGTGGAATAATACTCACTTTGCCATCACTATTTTTTATAACACTGAAAGAGAAACATTTATAGCAGGAGCCGATTTTAACTGCAAGAGATCTTTCTTAATAGACTAAAATTCATGCTGTAGATAGTGTTCCTGTTTTTTTTTTTTTTAAAAGCCAATTATCTTCATGCAACACTATTTATTTCCTAACTGGCAACCTACATTTTTAAAGAGAGGTGGTCTTCCACCTCTCCTATATTCCTGTAATCTACTAATAATAATCTAATTATAATAATAATCTAATTCCTATAATCTATCATGTGACGGTTTCTCTGACAATGCTTAGTCTCCCAACATATCAACATCCTCCATATTTTTAATAATGGATTAGTTAAACTTACTCTGCCATTCTGTCTCAGATCAACTGCATGGGATGCACTTGACACATTTCTGCAGTTTGGCCAAGTTACATATATTTGAGTAGTCCTCAAAACAGAGAGTATTTTCACATCCTCAATTTTTCATTCAGAAGGGGAGGTAGATATTAATGTATAGTTATACACAAAAATTGCAGTGGATTTATGGATACTCTATTTTGTTCATACACTAGAAAATTAAATATCAGAAATAACTATCTTATCACAGGTGAAAGTTTCATTTCACAAACCATCTATTGGAGCAGGGGGATAAGGAAAAGAGGAATAAGGGGAGCGCAGTGTTTCATAATCCAGAAGGCAAAACATTGTAATATACAAGTGTATGAGTCAGTACATCTAAGAATATAAACATCTGTGAAAAGGTTTGTTAAGTTAAAATACTTCTTGATCATATTCTGATCTATTATAACTTGGGGGGGAAGGAGAAGGGGACATACACATCTAGAAATAGTGGGGAAAAAAAAAAAAAAAAACCACAAACATACACACACACACACACACTTTGTGTCAGTACCGAGTGCAGATACACAAAGCTGTATCACTAGCTTTTATCTCAACCATAGTAACTAGTGCTTCCAAAGTAGTTAGTGATTGAGAACTGCTAAAACAAAAGCTTGCCACTCACATCCACTCCTTTAACTGCCACTAAAGATTGCTTATTCGATGTACGTAAGCGACATAAGCTAGAATTTTTGAAGTGAAAGTTGAATTGATACAATTAAGAAAAGATAACAGGCAAGTTAATGGAATTCTGAATACTGATGTTACAAATGCTTATGTCCATTTTAACAACTTGACAAGTGTAATTCTTATTATGTAAGACTGATAAACCTCAAATGATTTAAAAAAAATCATAAGAGATCGATTTAGCTTTACAGTTGCTGAAGTTAAGTTTACTGTAATGTTGGTTTACTTTCTTAACTATCAAAGATCATAACCATGATGCCTGAGACACCAGAAATGTCTGTCAGTTCATAAATTTGAAATTATCTTATAAAATGAAAACTGAACACAGGTATTTTAGCGCATCTCACTTAAGCACCCTAATAGAACTAACTTCATGGAAACATTGGCATATATATATATATATAGATAGATAGATAGATAGATATATACACACACACACTTTGCTGACTTTCAATTTTAAGTGAAAATTGTCAAGGCATTTCACAATTACATGAATAACTGTGACATTATATGGAAAAAAGTTATCACACACAACATCATTTGACTAGCTCTTTCTCAAGCACTTCTACCCAAGCAGAAAACTTCACTGTATTAACAGAACAAAGTTAAACTTTCTTGGTTATCAGATTTCTAGTGAGAAATAGAAGGAAGCTTCTTGGAACACTGAATGGTACAGAAGTTATCCCCCCCAAAAAAGTAGCTGCCCTGGTTAGAAAAGTAATTTTGTTACTGCCAGAAGGAAGAGTGACTCCAGAAGTAGGGGCAAGGGTCAGAAGAAATATTTCCTACTGTCATGAAAATATAAAAAGGGCAACTTTAAAGAATACTGCATACCAGTGGTCAGCAGCAATTAGCACTCCAGAAAGCTGGATATCATGTCTTGAATTCGGTGTATGCTTTCCAACAGTAGTTTCTCCTTCTTTGATCATATACAACAGCATCTCAGAAAGCTGGGGATCTTCATTGAGATTGACAAGGTTTGGTAAACGATTGTCCATTTTGAATGCAATTCCTGCTTTCTAGGGAAAAGAGAGCTCAGCATAAAAAAATTTTTAAAAAAGTTCTTGAATGCACAAAATTGTGTAACATCACAGTAGTCAGTTCAAAAAATAGCATTTTGGAAATCAAATGCTGCAAGTATTCTAGCTCTTCTGCACAGATTGCTGGTGTTAGATATTTTCTATACAATCTTCTATTGGAAGCGAAGCACTAAGTGGAAGAAAGAAGATGTACCTGTAACTCTTTCGTTTCTTCTAATTTCCTTTTTTCTGCTTGTTCAAGCTTTTCCTTCCAGGCCCTTAATATATTAGGGGGAAAAATGACTTAACACAACATACTAGGAGAAAAATTCCAGCATATAAGCATTACCATTAGTTAGCTCAAGACATTAATGATTGCCCCACCTTTGCATTTCTGCCATGTCCTTCTCCTGTTGGTGCAATTTTACCCTCAGAGAAGTTATTTCCTGCAAATAACGTCTGTATTTTTCAGGGTCAGTATTCTGAGCACTTTTCTGAGCTGCCTTCAGTTTTTCGATTTCAGCTTTCAGTTCTATATAAACATACCAAACACATAGTACATATACAAAATGCAGACAGAATAAGATGCTACAATAAGATTCTGGAAAATTCATCCAGGTGTTAAAAGCAGAATATCTTTCCCTGTTTAAAGTTCTCAAACGTAGCCCAAGATATCATAAGTTTGGCAAAAAGCTCACAGAAAAGCATTAGATTAGAAAAGAATATATCCTAGATTGTGTTTAATGTAGTTGCAGGAGTGCACATGAAAAGCAGAGGAGGAGAAGTTTTTTTTTTTTTTTTGATCATGGAGCATCTGAGGATTAGGTCGTTAACAAAAACTGATTAAAACTAATATTCAAGAGTATTCTTACCCATTCTGATCTGACTAAGCTAAAGTCAAAACTTACTCCCCTAGGCACAAAACTTCACAATTTGGATTCTTTTCCAGTGGAAGTGAACATATTTTAAACTTTCACATTCGTAAGATTTACACATGTGATTACTCGTGTAAGTGTCTGTCATCAGGGCAATCTAAAATACTGTTTATAAAAATACATTGATTAAGGAGCTAATGAAACGATAAAACTGTTTCAAAGAGAAGGACATCTGCATTTTGGAAGTCTTAACTAGAAACATTTTAGGAGTGAACAAACCACAAGTAAACGATCAGCTGGCACATGAGGTTATCTTTATATAAGATGTGTTATTACCAATAAGTTCGAAACGCATACAAATGAAAAATAAAAAAGCTCAAAGACTTTACATGTCAGCCTCACCTCTGATTAGCTTGGCGTTCACATCTTCATTTACTTTAGCAACGTTGATTATTGAACAAGCTTGTTTCGCATAGCGAAGAGTGCTGAGAGTTTCTTCTATGCTGCTGGCAGCTGGACTGATTGTGGCAATCATGGCAGTTCGGGAATTCCCACCAAGACTTTCCTTTAACAACCTTTGTTTGACATGAAACTAGAAGTCATTCCCCCTCCCCAATATTAAAGACAAAACAAAAACAAAAAAGAGACTTCAAGTAGCTAGGGTTTTGCCACTTATTTGAAAGCAATTTATACAAGTTTTGGATTTCTACACAGAAAGAACACTTGCTCTGGGTGCAGAATCATAGAAATTGCTCTAACTTCTTCCATTTTTGAGGTTTTTGACCTTATCTGAAGGTCTTCATGGAGTTAGCAGCATTATAACAATGAGAGCCAGTTCCCTAATCAGAGATGTAATAATTCTCTCCTCCCTGCTCCTCATATCAACCCACTTCTGCAACATATATGAGGTAAAGGAAGGGATGCTTCCTGAACAGAAGTGGAACCCACAATCTGAGAAGGCCTTTACTTTTATATAAACAATTCTGAAATGAACATACCATGTAAGGACAGACTCCCGGTAAGGAATGAACGTTTTCTTTCCGTTTTGAGACTGTTCAGAGAGTGCAGAAATAACTTTTCCAAGGGTTAACAGTGACTTATTAATACTCACACCCTCCTGTATGAAACAAACAAAAAAAATTCAATTGTATTTTCTTGTGTGATGTTATTGACCGTTCTCTTGACTTAATTGTGCTTATTCAGTAATACAGTTATGTCATCAGTGATTTAAAAAATTGCAATAGTATCCTAGATTATCTTCATTCAGAAAGAAGAGGCCCAGGTTTTAACTAAGCAGTCCTAAGAACCGGAGACTTTCTTGCAAACGCAGCTTGGAAGTCTCCTATTAGGAGCTCTGTTTACTTAAGACAAATGCCAAGAAAAGATGCAAGTTCTGAATCCATAAAACATGGAAGTAATAATTTAGAAAGTCAGCTACTCATGGGCGCAGTTTTTCCTCATTTCTTTGAGAGGATCCTCAGGCTTGCATAACATAAGGAACGCTGGCCTTCTAAGCAATGTTTAGCCTGCCACACTGCGTGGTCAAAATACCTTGTTAGAGCCACCTGCCCTCACTGACAAAGTGCTGTGCAATATTTATAAGAAGTACTGAGGGTTACAAGCCCTTCTATGACACTTGTTCTTCCCAAGAAAATTCCTTGGAGGTGAGGGGTGCTTCAGTCTAGCAGAGTTTAGGGATGTTCTCCAGAACCATTTTTTTCCCCCCCACAGATTTCTAGTCCTGATCTACCTTCAGCCTTTCTCCAACGGTTTGAGTTGCTGAGCAGCGTTCACTACCAGCTAGATCTATTAGATTTATGTGGCTGGTAATCCTACGATCACGTTGCTCTTCATCCACAAACTCTACCTGGAAGAAAGGAGATCATTGCATTCAAACTAAAACAAAAAGCAGAGAATAAGCACAAATCTAACAAGCTGTTCACTTTTTTTTTTTTTTTTTTTTTAAAAAAGAGTGACACTTCCATTTACTTTTTACAGGATGCCTTAATGTACATCTCTTGAAGAATACATTCGCACTATTAACCATAGCATCAAGCATTTACAGTGGAACAAATGAACAAGCATGAAAAGCACAAAAAACAAACAGATAGCCAAAACTGTAGTTTGCAACTTGAGTTTGACTATTGTCTGGATCTAGTACCCGTGGAAATTATGACTTAGATCAATGTAGTTCAGGTAAATAGTGATTGGAAAAGCCTCAGGACTAGCTCTCACAGAGAAAAAGAGATAATCTAGTGGTGAGCATGGTGAGAAGGAGGAAGGAAAAAGATTATGAAACTAGACCAAAAAAGCCAACCAAAAAACTGCAAGTTATTTGTGAATGGAAGAAATTGACAGTCTGTAGGCTTCTAAGGAGCTCTACCTATTTCACTTTTTTCCTCCAGGCTCATCTCACTAAGTCACCTGCAGAAACTCGGAGTTTTCTAGCTTGCATAGTCCAGTCTTCTTAGAAAAGAAGATGTGTTGGCACCAATATGAAATAATGTCTGGCCCCAATTTGGTTTCTGGATACATCTCAAAAAGGCACTCAGATGCTTGGAACTATTCCTAGCTCTACCAGTCTAGACATTTTATATTACTGCTATAAAAACATATATAGCACACTGGCTTTAGTCTACTCAAAGCATGTAAAATAAAACAGCTTTTGCTTTGTAGAAAGCCATGTTAAAAATGCACTGTCCTTTACTTATCTTTTGTGTTCACGTATACTCTCCCAACAAATTTCTAGGCAGTACATAAAACACTAGTTTTCCACTAACATATCTGAACAGGTAACTAAAAATTAAACATCCAGCAATACTTTTGTTTGTGTCATGACAAGGGTGAAGACTGAATGAGATCTAGAGCTCTTGTCATTCATTCCTGTAGCAGCTGTTGCTCTCTGTTTATTTCCTAGTTCAAGCCAACTCTGCAAGAGAGAGAAGTGGAGATGTAAAAAACCAAACCACCCCCCCCAAAAAAACAAGAAAAAACACAAAACAAAAAAAAACCACACACACACAAAACATACTTTGGGTAGTTAACTGAAGTCCCAAATGTTTGCAAGTAAAGTTGATAACAAATGATGACTCCTTAAGGGAGAAATTAAAACTTGAGATGATCATGGGAAAAGAGAGTGACGCTTGTCTGTTTGAACCTAGTCAGCTCCATGGTATATCATGGAATCCTGACAGGCTATAAAGTATTTTCTTCCCATCCATGGATTCTAGTTTTCAGTGGTAAAGGAAGGAACAAGGAGAAATATTTGCATTTACTTTTAGTAACAAAGAAAGTCTTACCTGGATATCAGAATAAGAACTGACAACATTCCTAAACGGAAGGAAAAAAGTTTAGGTTCAAACTATTTGTTTTGTTTTTATAGTGTTCCCTGCTACTTCAGTTTTGAAATATTTCCCAAGTTACAGACAAATGCAAATATACCATGAAAGCTCAAATTGTGTCAGAACCGCCACACATACTTCTTTCACTGAAGCCAAGTGGAAATGCAGCAAGTTAAGCTAGACATGTCTGTAAGTGTTTTGTAAAGCGAGGTGGAGCTATGATCTTGCCTAATCCATTGGCAAATACAAAAGCTTGCACAGAGTCCTAATATAATAATTGGCACACTGTATCAGGGTTAAGCTAATACTTTTATTCAAACGAGAATAGTTAAGACTTACGCGGTCAAATCTTCCACATACGGTCCTAATACTGGGTGTTCTCTTACACGAAGCTGGTAAGAATAATTTTAGGAGGGAATTCATTAGTAACCTATGAAGCGGACATAGCAATCAGGAATATCTTAATTAAGGGAAAGCTTTTCTAGCATGAAGTTCACCACCAATAAAATTCAGAATGAATCATCTAGAACAATTTTCATAAAATACTGACAACTGTTTTTTAAAGTTGCATGAGAAAAAGTAGACTGCACTAGACCATTGCTTACAGAGCTACCTGTGCAAGAACACTTGGTTAAAACATCAGAAAACCTAACATATTAAACAAGGGTTTTACATAAGAAAATTTCGCTGCCACAACATGGAAGGTTTTAGAGTAATGAAAATCTATTTTATTTTACAGTTTCAAGCTCAACAGAAGCTTAGCTCAAAACCACTGACAAAAACACTTCTACTGTAAGCAAGACGGTTAGTCTTTATCTCTATACAACTGGTCCAGGTAAGTCTCAAGTTCAGGATAATGGGCTTATTTCAACAGCAAGTTGAATGTAGTATAGCCTCTCTATAGTAAGTCGGTGATACTGAACTATTTATCCTGAATTAACTATTTCAATATAGAAAAAAAGAACTTTTTCTTCTTTGCACTGAAGAAGTTCTTCTTTCATTTTAGATATATGTATACCCAAACATACACAAAAGAGTTAATTCAGAGAGATTCTTCACTACTATAGCACCGCTAATTTAAAATATATAGTCATACCTTACACACAAGGAGTGGTCAGTACACTGCTCAGTATCACCAAGCTCAAAAAATTGCTTTGTTTTTGCTTTTTTAAATAAATCAAACAAATAAGTTCCTTCAATTTATCTTTAACACAAGTTTCTGAAGCTTATGATTGTACATATTCTAATACAAAAGCATTAAAAACTAGCTTAACTAGTTAATAGGGTCCCTGAATCTCCCCCAACTTCTTGGGAAGAATAGTGGAAATTCCTGCCAGCGCCATGGCTTTAAGCAGTGAATTGTCCAGGGCAAAGAATTTGAATGATTATTCATCTCGGTCTTAGGTTCTTCATCTGAAAGTGAATTTCTGTAGTTGGGCAGTGTGGAGGCACAGCATAAGTATTGGGGGGGGGGGCAGGGGAGGAGAAAAATTCTCCCTTTGCAAATATTGACAATGTTTTTTTCCATGAATATATTATTGACTGCAATGAAGTGGTAAACAGGCATCCCAGGAGGTAAACAATACACAGATATTTTCAGAAAGTGAATGGACACTTCAGTAGGGCTGAGAATTGAGACTGAAGGAACAAATAAATTTAGAAAAATACTTTTTTCACAGCAATGGCAGCCTCCTAATGCTGCCAAATTACAAGACTGTAACTCAAATTATGTAGCACAGAAAACTCAGTGGAATCTGGAGACTTCTTAGATAAATAATATCCTCTTATTAGTGTCTCTTTATAAAGGCTGATAACGTCGTCTTCATTTTGAAGATAAGGAGAGATGTTAATAACAGCTCTGAGAGGCCAATGAGCTGCCTTGTTTCTGTTTCAGCAAGATTTATGGTTTTGCTCTTAAGAGCTGCTAAACGTTTTGCTTGCAGTTATATAGCAAGTTTTTTTTCATTTGACTCCAGTTATTCATAACAATCTAAAGTACTTAAATAGATAAGAAAGCAATGATCGCTTCTCATTTGTGCCTTTTTGTTTAGAGAATAGATGTCACTACTTTGAGATAGCGTATATACATTTATTTCTGTGAGCAACAACTTACCGGGTGTTTCTTCTGTCCACTTTCAGCTTTAAAGACGAGCAAATCATGAATTTTCTCATTGTAAACTTCAAAATAGCTCATTTCAAGATGATACCAAATCTTTAAAAAAAGAAAAAAAATTCCTCATATAGTCTGCAGCATACATTTTCATCATCAGTTCTGTTTCACAAACAGACATAGATTACCAGATACTGCTATTTGGCATCAGAAGCCTTTACACTGAAGTGATTTCTCAAGAGAAATGATATCCTAACTCAGAAATCTGCTATTGCAGAGAATACTATTTATTAGAATTCCATCCACAGCTACTTTCAGATGATAAATATCAGGCTTAAAAACATGTACGCATCCACCTCAGAAGCGTCAGTGCTGGACTTTCAGTTCATGAACAGTTTTTTCTCCTGCCGTAGTCTCATTCCGTTAGAGATCAGGCTTCCACAGCATCATACATGCAACAGAAACATTGACTAGTATTGTCAATGCCCTGACACGGGAAAAAAGGATTATCTGTTAGAAAAATAAAACTGGATACTATCTATTGCAATCTTAAAAGTACTGAGGAAGAAGTTTCCTTGAAAACACATTTTTCCTTTGAAAACCTCTAGGGTTTTTTGGGTAACTATATTTATGAATGGAATTTTGCTTACAAGGCAATGAAGACTGCAGCAAAAACAAATCCATACAGTCAGAACATGTACAAGATTCAAGATAATCCGCGGCAACAGAATCACTTATTCACAATACATAAGCAAAGAAAAGCAAACTTGCATCTGGTAGCCTTGCATTTATTAGAAGTTGCATTTATATTCTATAGCCAAACCTCAGTAAAAAATAGCGTTCCTAAATTTCTTAGTGTCTGTCAACCTACTGAAAGGTTGTGAGATTATTGGTATTAGCATTCAAAACCATGACTTAAAAGTGTTAAAGAAGCTTAGAATAGTTAAAAATAAAAAAGTTTGTCCGCATAAACTTAACTGACTGTTCCTTCAGCCGTCTTATAGACGGCTTTAAACTTTTATTTAGTTACTAAAAATAAGTATGCAACCTCTACTGACCTGTGAGTCAGTCCCTATAGATGTAGGCAAATATATATACATACACACACATGAAAAAGAAAAGTACAGAAATAACCTTAGCCACCCAAGTGCCTTGAATTGGATGCTCCCTATCTAAGTAAATAAAATTTTCTAATCCTTTTCGTAGTTTTAAAATATTCAGGGTTTCTAACCAAGTGTTATGATTTGTGTTATTGCCACGGACAGCTTCAGCTGTACTCTTCGTATCTTAAACCAATTCAACTACAGTGCAAGGCTTATCAAAAGTGATTCTTAACATTTTTCTGAGACTGAATTTCTAGTAAACAGACCGACAGAAGAAGGAAGTATACCTGACAAGTATCACAAAAACAAAGTCCACGCATACCTACATTCACAGTGGAGGTCCTTTCTTTTTAATAGATGAGATAAATAGTTCTGTATGTACACACAGGGTATGTACTTTTGAAGCGTGTATTTACCAAGTCACCTTCTAGGTCTCATACACTTGTTTAAATGCATTTTAGCTTGTTGAGCCCCTCTAATGACACTCTTGCTGCATTTCCACAGGGAAGGGGAGGGGGGAAAAAAACAAACAAACAAGAAAACCCACACATTACCCAAGCTGTTGTCTTTGATTCAAGCCAACAGTGACTTCATCAGTTTGGTTAATGCTTGCTAACATTTCAATTACTTTCTCCCTGAGGGATGCAGTTGATCTTAGAACCACTGAGCTAGAAGAGACCTTAAGAGACCATCCGGTTCACCTCTAGTGAACCACACGCAGGTCATTCCTGACAGATATCTGTCCAGACTGTTCATGAGAAGTCATCCGTTAACACTCTCCATAACCCTCACAACAACCTATTCTAATGCTTCTCCAGCCTTATCATTAGACACTCTGAAAAACCTCCTAATCTTGTGCTGAAGTAACTTATCAGCTGTATGAATCCTATAACACACCTAGAATTTGCTTATGCAAACAGACTGTAAACATCTGTAACACTGTTTACTGTGACCATGACAGTGATGATGCAAGATGTAGTATTCTGAGTTTTGAAATATTTATGTATGTAATCATACATTCCAAATAGTAATACCAAAAGCATATGCAGACCAGTCAAAACTGAAAGAATTATGAAGAGTGATTCGCAGCACAGCCAGAAATATATAACTGAATATGTACGTTTTTAATTTTACTTTTATCTGCAGTTATGATTTTGTAAGTTTATCATTACCACACAAATTACTCTGGGGAGAAGCAGAAGTTAAGCCTTCCTTGAAATAATCTGGAAAAGATGACAGCTCTGTCTTTTTAAATACACATAGCATAGCTGTAGAAGGAACACAAATCAAAACGTAGTCTGAATAAACATTCCCTCTGCCCCTCTGCTTAATAGGCATTAATAACCACATCACTGCTAAGTTGTAAAATGAAAGAATGAAACAGGTATCAAAACACTGAAACACACCAGTCTCCTCACAACTCAGTATTAGCACAATAAACACTACAATACCTGTTGCCCGTCCATTTGTGCTATTCGAGCAAAGAGATCTTCACAAAATCTTGGAATTATTCCTCGGTCTTCATCAAATCCCAGCATTCTGTAGTTGCAAGAAACCCACATTTTATACAGGCATTCTATTTTCTAACTCTTTATAGCAGTTATTCTAGTTTTGTTAATTGCACAGTTCTACAGTTACAGTAAGGGTAAGAACGCACAAGTAACAGAAGTAATTAGTTACAGAAATAAATCTGATCTAAGCTGGCCCTTGTTTGAGCGGGGGATTGGACAAGATGACGTCCAGAGGTCCTTTCCAACATATCTGATTTTGTGATTCATCCATGGAGAAGTAGGTTGAAAAACTACAGTGAAACAAAAACCCTATAACAACTGCAGAGTAAGTTGAATTAGATAATAAACCTACAGATGTTTGACAGCGTACATTTTCATATTTTATATTCTCTGCATCCTGCCAGCATAGCAACTCAAGCTCCTCTCCACCTCTCGTATAATTTTGTCCTGTCTAGCTCTGCTACTACAGAAAACCAGTATATTGGACTAATTCAGCTACCTCAGTTAAGTCTCAGCTGCACAATACAGTTGTCAGCAGAAGTCTGTGGTGGAGATCAGACCCGAGGGCACAGTTATTACTGATATTAATTTCAGCCTTGCTGAAGATACACAGAGGTGAAGGTAAACAATTGTTTACCAGGGCAGGGAAGGGGAGGAACATTACAAACAAGATGACAATCATAATATTGATCATATCTTCTTTTTAGGACAAGGTAAATAAACAGTAAAAGTAAAAATAGGATTCCCACTTTAAAAAAGTCCCGCCTAAGTTCTTTTAGAATAAATGTTTACTTTTAAAACGTATAGTGGAAGATTAACAAAAAGTTTCTCATCAATCTACTTGGGAAATTCTATAGTACTTTGTGGGAATTATAAAGCACATAAGGGGTTTAAGTATGTATAGTTGGAAAGAAAAAGGTTCACAAGGCACTCTACTGAAAAACACATACATGTCATAAAATTGGCTGCAAAACCTCAAAATGGGGGTGTAGGTGTTTGAAGAATAGACTTCAAATAATTAGTGGCACTTGAACATCTGGATCTTATTTCTTGTCTTTTAATTCACAACTATAACTTGAATGGCCTGTTAAAGGTCATGTCCAAAAAACAGCGTCCTTCAGAACACGCCATTTCACACACACAAAATAAACAGTGCTGAACAAAAGCACTCTCCACATTAATACAGATTTTCTTTCAGCGACACCTTTGCTAAGAGCTTCATTTTTCTTCGTTGGAAGTAGAAAGAGTATATACATACAAAAAACATCTACAGCTTTGTCTCAATTTTTAACTATAAATGTTAATATTTTAATTGGCTTCAAAACGTGTAAAAAGATTTTAAACACAACTCAGTAATTAAAGGAGATTATATAGGATAAATCCAGTAAAGACTAGACACTGTATAATAATTAGCTCCTAAAGAATTCTAACCATTGTTATTAGAAACTCACGTGTATGATTTGCCAGAACCAGTCTGTCCATAAGCAAAAAGACAAGTGTTGTACCCCTCAAAAGCTCTTTCTAGGAGTGGCGCTGCCAAAGTTTTATAAATCACTGCTTGGTTTGCAAAATTAGGATGACACTTGTCGAAAGACCAGAACGAGAAGTCGTAAGTGAAGCTGTAAACTTGGTTTGTATCCGGATTCTGTACAGCTGTCTCTGAACCACTCATGGAGATTACTGGGAAAGCATTTTCATCTTTCTCTCTGAATAGAAAGGGTAGGGGGAGAACAAAAATAGAAATATAAGCTGCAGTCTGTAACGTAGCAATTTCAAACATATAGCCTCACAGAAAATAAAAAGTTAAGTAATAAATTTTCAAAAATCCTTTTTACTATGAAAAGATTACAAAACCATTAATACAAGAATTGAACATCCCATTTAATAAATGTATAAAGTACTCAAGCTTAGAATACTTGAATGGTTTAAAAACAGCGCCAGATTGCTATAAAATGAGGAATTCATCTCTTAATAAAATCTTTAGTTTGATGCTGCATGAAATATTTGCTACTTTCCAAAGTTATAACATACTATTACTCTTTAGCATGTCAGCAACTGAAACAATTCAGAAAACACAGAGCAGGAATCAACATGTACTATAAAAGCTATTCTTTGACATCAGAAACTAATCCAAGATACAAACCTGTTACTGAAAGGCCGTACACGTATAGCTACGGTCACTTTGCTGTTTTCTGCTTTGAAAATATCTTTCTCAGTGCTATTGCTCTCAGCTCCAGTTTCTTCCTTAAAAGCTAGGGCGTATGTTGCATTCCCTTCTACTTTTGCACCTCTACTCAGGCTGAGAGCGCTGGGGACACTCATTTTCTTTTTCACTACAGTTTGAGGATGAGGTATTTGCTTCTTTGAAGCATATACAGAATGATTTACAGTATTCTGAGAAGTGCTATGCTTTGGTGTAAGCTTCAGTCCTGCTGTATCTTTTCTTGGTGTCCTTGGCCTTTCCAAACTGTTATGTTTTAGAATTAAGTTTTGTAACCTTTCTTTTTCAGCAACCTTATTTATATTGCCTTTTTCATTCAGCTGTTCTCCTGGTATCCTATTAATATCTCTTGGAGTAACCAATTTTGCTGATCCAGGAACTTCATTTTGAGATTTTTTATCAGAAGTGATTGTCCTATATTTTAAATGTGTGCAGCTATCATTTTCAGAGGGACCATCAATATTGCTAAGCGAATCCTTGCTGTTCAGATTATAGTGCTTCTCTGTATTTGACTGACGTTCAACTAATTTACGGCTTGGTTTAACATAACAGGTATCATTACTACTAGCAGTTGGTAGAAGTATGGTCTTGTAATTTCTTTGCACAGCAGTAGAGTCATTATTTGCTATTCCAGCCACAGTATTCTGATTTATTTTACTCTTCTCTGTGGAGCAAGTCCTCAGACGTCTCTGCAGAGTAAGTCTTTTCTCCGCTTGTATGTTTTCTGTGTCCTGTGCTGTTTTTTCATCCAACGGTTCACCACTGCAAACTGATCCTTTGCTTGCTCCAGTTCTCCTCTGGAGCGTTAATTTATCTTCAGGCTTAAAAGTAACTGGTGTATCACCCGCTTTTTTACAGGCGGAAATCACATAAGTCCTATTTCCTTCTCCGGCCTTATTCTGAGAGCATGAAAGTAGATTATCCTTTTCTTCCCCTGACACCTGTGATTTCAGTTGTTGCCCAAACTTTTTGCCGCTGGTAAAGGCATTTTGTGCCAAAGAATTCTTCTGTAAAGAAGTAGTACGCTGTGCCTCAGAGTGGCTTCTTGCAGGAACTGTGTAAACAGGCATTTTGTCTTTCAGCAAGTTAGCACTAGGCTTTTTTAAAAATTACTACACATCTTTCCCGAAAGATTAACTCCACTTCTATTTGCTCCTTCTCACGGAATCTGAAAAGGCAAAGCAAAATTCTTGTTGCACTTATGGCAGATGTGAGATATGTTTCAGTGTATGGGGAGTTTTTCCACATATACTGCAGTAAATACTCTCCCCTTCCCAAACATTAAACATAACAAGTATCTCCCTTTCCCCTCAGGGGCATTTAAAAAGTTATATTCTTCTAGATCTCCTGTGTGAAGGAGATAACTGCTTTAGCCAGTCGTGGCCTATTTGATTCCATTTATCAAGTTATACAATTTGTGTTGAAAGGTAAACCAAACAGCATGAAGAAGCACCAGTAGATACAAAGAACACTTCAGCTATTTAGTAATAAACATCACCACAGATGTTTCTTCCAATTGACCTACAATGATTCCCAGTTAAACAGAATTCAAGATCACTCCTCCATTCACTCAGAACCATTTATGCTTATGGTATTTCACAACTAACAGACGCCAACAGAACAATAAAACCACTAACAATATTAGACAGGAAATGTGTGCATGCAGAAAGCGGGGTTTTTTTGTTTGTTTGTTTTTTAGGATTTGATAGCCAGTCCACTGTCAGAACAGGAGAGTAAATAAGGATGACTAGTACAATAGGTTTGGGTCTTATTTTAATTCAGTATATCACATGTACATACATGTATACATACACACATACAGCAAAAGAAACAACCTAGAGGATGAAAGAAAAATTGTAAGAAGTATCTCCGGCCCCTTTTAAATACTTTGCAAGTTGCACACCTCCAATCTGTATACAAAAGTATCCTTTTTACCGCTGCCTATGCATCTTGGTCAGGGGACTCGGACATCGCTACCCGCTACAGACTCGCCATCTGCAATTACTTCCCCATCCAAGGGCAAGAGAAACTCACCTGAGCCACCTTAGGCCCTCTGGGAATTCGGGCACCGCGACCAACGGGGGAAGCGGGCAGGAAGCCAGAGGACAACAAGCGAGGCGGAAGCAGAGAGCTAAGCGTTACTCAGACGGAAGTTTCCTTTAATGCCGTTTTCCCCAGTTACAGCTCTGGGAGTGCTCTCAGGGCTCGTGGGATGATGCCCGCTGTAACACGCTTCACGGCCGCACAGAGCTTTCATAGCTCAGAAGTCGTGAGGAAAGCTTCAAAAAAGCTTCCAACCGGAACGTATTTATTTCTCAGACCCGTCTGAAACTACCGCTGCTGCTCGAGCTCTAAAACATACCTGGGGCGAGGCCTCCAGTGGCCGGCGGGGGCTCTC